ATAATATAATAGCAAAACAATAGCATTAACTACTATAATAATAATAATAATAATAATAATAATAATAATAATAATAATAATAATAATAATAATAATAATAATAAAATAATAATAATATTTCGAAACAATAAAATTGTTTATACTTATGTAATTTATATTTAGTGTGAAATGTTATGAGTTGGTAATAGCATTAACTATTATATAATATAATAGCAAAAAATTACATGATTACACTTAATAGGGTGTATTAATGTGAAGGCAAAATATGAATGACAAATTTTGTAACTTATTTTTGAGGGAAAATAAATGAGGTTTTATTAATTATGTTTTATAAATACATGATTATACTTAATTAGGTTTTATGAATGATATTATTATTATTATTATTTTAATTTTATATTTCATGAAACAATTTTCTTTAGTAACAATTAGTAAATAGTTTTAATAGTATAGTAAAAAACCTTTAAAATCTTATAAATATTGTCGTTGTAATAAGAATAGTAATAATAATAATAATAATTATAATAATAATAATAATAATAATAATAATAATAATAAAGTTTTCAAGTAAATTATTTGACCATGATCCCTCCAAATTATAAAAATTACATTACCCACAATTTTTTTTTTAATCAATATAGTGATTCATATGTATCAAATAATTTATATAAATATTATTTTATTTTTACTAATGATTAAATCTTGAAAATGTGGTATGTCCATTATCTAGAATTTTAATATTAAATTCACATATCTTGAAAATGTGATATGTTTATTTTCTAGAATTTTAATATTAAATTCACATATCTTGGAAATGTGATATGTTTATCATCTATAATTTTACTATTAAATTCACACATATTACTTATAATATTTAATGTACATCTGTGCATGTGCACAGGATGATAACTAGTAAATTTTATCCCTAAAAAAACCGTTACTTTTTTATTTATTTAACTTGTCATTTAATTATTAGAAATCAACACACTGGTCATTTCAAAATTAAAAAAATTATTTTAAATTTTTGATTTACTTACAACTGACCATATAATGTATTGACTATTTAACGTGATTAGATATTATTGTTGTGGTTACATTTAAATTAAATTCTTTTAAAAAATAAAAAATATATTTGAAATTCCTAAATAAATAATAAATAGTTCACAAAAAAGATACATACCAAAATATACATTACATCTAATATGATACATAATTTAAAAAGATAAATATTTCAACTCCTTTAATTGTAAATTTGGCAAAAATCATTAATTATTATATGCATACTCACAATACTTTATATATATATATCTGTGCAAATGCACAGGCCGAATACTAGTATTAGGTAAAATAATACAAGTGACACACTAGTAAATAAAATTATCAAGTGATGTGATACACAAGTCCCACTGCAATTTGACACAAATATCTTACTCCTCTCTTTCCCTCACCCACACTCATTTCCCGTCCCCAAAACCCCTAAACCCTTCCTAAAACCTCACCGTCTCCCATCACCGCCACAACCATGAACACCGGCGGCGGTTCCCCCTTCACCTCCGCCACCGCTACTCCTAGCTTCGACAACCTCCTCCTCCAATCCCTCATGTCGCGCCTCCAGCTCCGCCCCCCCAGCCTCCAGTCCCCCTCGCCCTTCGCCGCCGGGAAGTCCCTCGAAGATCTCCTCCTCTCCGATCTTCTCCTCAACCTCTCCGATTCCGGCTCAGACACCGATTCCGACGGAGACCTCTCTTCCTCCAAAACCCAGCTCGCGAGGGAGGAATCCCGGCTCGAGAAGGAGATCGTCCGCACGATCCTCTCCGGCCAGATCGAGAAGCTGAAACCTAATTCCGGCCAGGCGGTAACGATCGGCGAGCACCACATCTGCGTGGGGTTTCAGGAGGAGCCCGGGTCGGATTACCGGGTCTGGGAGTGGCACGGGCATATCATGCTGTTTGATGAGGAGAACGGGTACACGCCGGAGTATATATACGGGAATTACTTTGAAAGGCTTGGCGCAGGCAAGAGGAAAATTACGAGCGAGGGTAAGAAAGGCAGTGTTGATGATGACGATGAAAAGGCCGAGGAGGCTGAGAAAGTGACGAATGGAGGGCTGAAAGAGCTGATCGAAAGTGGAGAGTCGGGCAGCGGGCTGATCCTTCACCGGAATCTGAATGCAAAATCCGGCTCCCCGAGGTATATACAAAACGAACACCCCCTACTTTTTATGTGTTTATAATTTTCCTATTTGAAAATTGAATTTGCTGAAAATCTTATATGTGCTTGGTGTTTTTGAAGTGTTTGATGCAATTTTATGTACTGTTTCAACTTGAGTAAAGTTTGCCAAAAGCATGTAGTTCTACATTCTCCATTTTTTTTTTGTGTGTGGTTGTATTATATGTACGGTTGAATGTATATAGATTGTTACAATACTATGCATCAATGAGCCGAGTTAGCTCGGATAATGCTTGTTCATGTGTTGTTTGAACTTTGCAGATGTAAATGTAGAAAGCCTGTAGTTTTATTTAGTGAGTTGTTTGTGTTTTTCCATCTTTTTGTAGCATCTAAATGCGTTCTCTGTGAATGATCAATCAGCCGAAGTTCTTGACTGAACTATTTGATTCTTCTTTTGTTTACATGTTTATTTATGCGAAAGTTTCTCCTTCTTTACTTGTTGAACTTATTGCGTGGGTACATATAAAATCATGACCAAAAGGTCTATGTTGGAAGTTTACATGGTATAACTAATTCAACTAATCAAAGGGGTTTTGTGGGTTCTTGAAAATGGTTTGGGTGAATGGTGAAAAACAGATAGATACCAAGTTATGTAATGGGAAGGATTTAAAAAGACCCGTTTTGATTCTCATATTATTTATATGAGTCTAGTCTATCAGCTGCAACAAATGATTGGTTTTAATCAAACATGGGGTGAGTATAGCTATGGAATCACTTATGATTATGAATATCTCAATACATATATATAAACATTGATCAAAATTTTTGGCTATGATTAAATGAGAAATGTAAAACTACTTTGCTGCTATATATAAAGTCATAGATCATCTTAAACATTGTCTCCGAAGGCCTGCTTAAATCTTGATAGCAACTCCTTTTAACATTATTATGACGATATGTCTTAAAATGGGCATTGGTTCGAAATTTTGTATGCCTCTCAAAGACTGGGCAAATTTATGTTATACTCTGGTGCTCAGACCCAAAAGTTCAAAATCTCGGCTTTTAAACATCCAGTTCTTGTGTTGATACCTTTAAGAACTCTATCCATCCCATCTGATTTTAATTATCTTTCATAAAATTGCTTATTTGTTCTCAATATCTTTTTAACACTCAGTGTTTTCTTATCCATTTTGGATTTTTGATATTGCCACGACAGGTTTGAAGTAGGGGACACATCCAAATCCGAATAGAAGACTGTTTTGTGGGATGAAACTGATGATCAAACCTGTGTGCATTTTCTTCGTCGAGCCTGTTGCTCATTTTTCGAGTTCTCTGTGAAGGCTCCTCGAGAGACATTTGATTTTTTCTTTTTCACCTACAGCATGAAATAGTGAAAATACATTGGTTGTGCTTTTAGTTCAGGATTTTTTTTCTCTTGCTGTTAATCTTGTGGTTGACTTTTTCCATGTCTGTTTCATTACTGTTATGTTTAAGAATTTTCGTGAATAAATATGGTTTGATGTTTTCATTCATTTTTCGTTCCACAATTTTTTCAGAATACTGTTTATTTATTGTACTCATTTTTTTTTTCATCAATGTCACTGACAGTCATTCTTAATCCCACTAACATAACCTTAATCAATCTTAATCCCACTATCATAAGAAGGTTAATCTTAATCCTACTATCATATGTCATAACATAGGGAAATGCTAGAGTTTCGTTATGAAATCTTTCCATCGGGTTTTTTAACCGTTAAATCATCATGTAACCGTCAAGGATAAGTTGATTTAACGGTTAAAAATCACGACGGAATGATTTCGTAACGGAACCGTAACATCTTCCCATAGCATAGCATAACTGTAAGAGTAAACCAATTCATTTTTCATTTGTTGTGGTTGTCTCATTCCCATTTGAAATTGTCCTATAAGTTTATCTAGGCATTCAAGTTTCGATTTTCAGTTCCAAATATAGCTGTAAATCGGCTGAATCAAGCATAAGCTAAAAAAGTCTTTGTCAAGTCGATTTTGAATCAATAAACAAGTTTGTGCGAGCTTGGCTTGTTTGTTAAAATTGACAAATCAAGCTATAACCTTAACCCGATTCAAGAAATGACAGTTTCTCAAACCAAGTTAAACAAGTCCAAACACATAAACGAGACGATCCAAACTCGAGCCATAACAAAAACTTGAGCATTAAGTTGGACCAAACCCACAAAACAAATTAATCCAATCTTGGGCATTAACAAGTTGAGCCGAGCAGCTCAATTCAATTAACAACTCTTAGTTCCAAATAAGAACATCATCAATAAAAAAAATCAATTATCTTATTCCAAATTCAATAAACAAAATTAGAAAGATTTTTAAGTATCACATTGCCTTTCACGAATCAAGACTATCCAATCAACAACATATTCCAACAAAAAAAAAAAAAGAGGAAAATTGGGGAAAAGAGAAAAACAAAACAACACAACAAACTGCCCTACGAGCTCGTGAATTTGGTAACCGCCTTGGTTCCCTCGGAGACGGCGTGCTTGGCGAGCTCGCCGGGGAGGACGAGCCTGACGGCGGTCTGGATCTCGCGCGACGTTATCGTCGGCTTCTTATTGTACCGCGCCAGCCGCGACGACTCGACGGCCAGCTTCTCGAATATGTCGTTGATGAAGCTGTTCATGATTCCCATGGCCTTGCTCGAGATCCCGATGTCCGGGTGGACCTGCTTCAGCACCTTGAATATGTAGATCTTGTACGTCTCGCTGTTCTTCTTCACCTTCTTCTTCCTCTTCCCGTCGCCGCCGCCGCCGCCGCTGCCGCCCTCCTTCGAGATCTTCTTCTCCGCCTTCGGTGGCATCTTCTCCGCCGTGGATGGCTTCTTCTCCGCCTTGGGAGCCATTTGTTTTTTTCTTTCTTTCGATTAGGAAAATTTGGAAGACGAGAAATTAGCGGGATTGATTGGAATTATTTTGGGTAAGAAAACTGTGGTGGTTTATATAGAGAGAAAAGTTTGTTCTTATTCGTTCGTGCGATTAGAAGTGGATCGATGACGTGTATAGAGTTTACACCGTTAGATGGGGATTATGCATCTATTACTATATATTAATCCACGATGGCTTAATACTTGGCCCGTCTGACCGTGTCTAGTTGGGCTTGTTTATTGGGCTAACTCTACAATATCACAAGTTGTTTTACTTTTAGCCAATCAGGTAAGAATAGAACACCACCCTTTTGAATTTTTTGCCAATTTGGTAGAAGAGCAAGAGCGGAAATGTTATGGTCATGTTACGGTACCACCCCGTCGGAAGTTTTAACCGTTAGATATATGTGTAGTTAGTATAAGATAGATTATCCAATGGTTAAAACGTTCGACGGGGTGGTACCGTAACGGGACCGTAGCATTTCCCCGAACAAGAACCTATGAGTTATGAACAGACAAAGAGAAATGGGTAGCTGGTATGAATGAGGAGTTAAGATCTCTATAACAGAATCAAACATGGAATTTATGTTACTTATATAACCAAATTGAAGGTGGTGATTATTTTGAAGTTTTCTCACCAGTGGCTAAACTTAGTTACAGTCAGAGAGCATTCATAGCAATGGTGGAAATGAAATGATGGGAATTGTGGCAGCTTGATGTCAACAATGCATTTCTCCATGGTTATGTCAATGAAGAGGTTTACACGAAGCCACCACAGTGCTATACCAGAGCTAAGAAAGGCAGGTATGCGAGCTTATCAAGAGATTGTTTGGTTTAAAGCAAGCTTCAAGAGAGTGGAACACTGAACTCACTAAGAAAGTCATGCAGTTTGCTTTGATGCAATCAGCACATGATCATTTTGCTTATTCACAGTTTCACACAAGAAAAAAGGAGATGACTACATGGCCATGCTTTTATATGTTGATGATGTATTATTCACAACTTCAAATGTACAGATGTCGACTGAGTTAGGACAAAGAATTCACGATCAAAGATTTGGAAGCAACAAAGTATTTCTTAAGTGTGGAGATGTTTATGGAGCAACAAAGGATTGCAACATGCAGCTCGTTTTTTCTTTCTTTTCTTTTGGTAGCTAAAGTCGAGTTCTATTTCCTTACGCCTTAGTAATCAAAACGATGTCTTTTTTATTACAGTTTTAGTTACAGATATATAATACTACCAGTCAATCCTCCTGATTGAGTGAATGAAAAGTACCAGTGAGCATGAGAAAATGTGATTAGGGTTTATTTGGTACATTTATTTGTACTTATATATACGAACATGGTTACCTCTTTCCCAAGGCACAAAGTAGGTAAAATCCTGCAAAATCAAGAGATATCCTGTGATAATGTAATGAGATATTATGTTTTTCGTGTTAGTTAAATATCTAGTTCATTAGCTTGAGTAAGATATTGACGGTTAGTTTATTAGTTCGACCGAGTATTGTTGTTAGGTTGACCATGGTCATGTTATTTTAAAGACCGTATATCAAGCCGAGCTCATCTATTGTTACTACTCCGTCATTTAGTTAAAACAGCTTGAAATAATTTAAAACTAGCGGCTATCTATCGAACATTTTGGCGAGAGTGATTTGCAATTAATCAAGAGAAAAATGGTTTGTTGACAAATCCTCAAAGTGCTTTAGTCATATGTGAATAGACAATCTCAAATAAGTTGCAAGATTAGAAACCCAAAACATCATTCCACAAACTCTAGTGTTCTATCAAGTGTGAATCCAAAGCTATCATCCACAAAAGATTACTTTTTTCTTGGTGTTTACACACTTTAAAAATCTACTTGTATTTCCTTTTATTGCATGTTTTTTGCAAACATAAACTTTACAAGGGCTGAATACAATCCTTGGCAGAACTGCTGGAGGAACAACTACCTAAGGCTGAGCGGTTGCTCGGGCTCAGCTTTGGGCCGCTATCCCTATCTCAATACGTAAGAAAGTATGCGAGCCATCAAGCAGCTCTAGAGAACAATTGTGTAAAGAGTTATATCCTCCAAAGTCAAATGCAATCACTCATCAAAACACCAATTGAGCTTAACTAATTCTTGAATCAAAAACTTTCAAATATACTATTCACCATGTTATATCATTTAAACTCGAGAAAACATATAAACACCAAAGTAAAGAATTAACCATAACAAAAGTAAATAAATGCAAGATACAGAAAACTGAAAGAAAGTATCTTTCCAGGTGATTCAATTCATGAGATAACAACTAAAACAAAGGGATAACAGTACAAATTACTCAAGAGTTATAAACAACACAACCCCTAAAAATACCCACACAACACAAACCCCTAAGTGAACCAAACAACAGTCATTCAATCACCATCATTCATCAACATGAAAGAACTCTAACTCAAGCCTTCTTGGGGGACTTGGTGGCCTTGGATGGAGATTTAGGTGCCTTCTCAGACTTCTTGGGCAAAAGAACCGGGTTTATGTTCGGTATAACGCCACCATGGGCAATGGTCACACCAGCAAGAAGCTTCCCAAGCTCCTCATCATTCCTCACAGCAAGAAGAACATGCCTTGGTATGATCCTGGACTTCTTGTTGTCTCTTGCAGCATTACCAGCCAACTCCAAAACCTGATTAGTTTTCCAAATTTCAACAGATCAGCATACATCTATAGAGCTGCATTTGCTTGCAAATACGAAATGAGCACACATTACACGCATTACACACACAAATGAAGAAAATCCCAAACTAAAAATTAGGGATTAGGGTGTTTAACCAATTTAGTATATGCAGACACCCAATACAAAAAGAAGCAAATTTCTTTAACAAAACTCCAAATTCAGAGCAAACCCTAGTCACAAATCCCACAATTTCAATTTCAGCTAGCACATTAAACAACAACAAATCAAAAAATCGAGATGAATAATAAATCACTAATTACACAGATCACACACCTCAGCAGCAAGGTACTCCAGCACGGCGGCCATGTAAACCGGGGCGCCGGTGCCCACCCTCTGAGCGTAGCGGCCCTTCTTCAGGTACCGGCCGATCCTACCAACAGGGAACTGCAGACCGGCTTTCACGGATCGGGAAACCGGCTTCTTCTTCGGACCGCCGCCCTTCCTCCCGCCGGCGCCCTTCTTCACCTTCGTGCTGGTATCCATTTTTTTTTCTTTTGATTTTCCTTTTCCTCGCTTACAAGCACTGATTTGAGGAGACGAAAATAGAAGTGTGGCTGAGATGTGATGGAAATTGAAGGTGGTGCTGTGGGTTTAAGTAAGAGAGAGGAACTGGGATGAGATGCAAAGACGCGAAACTTTCTAGCCGTTGGATTATGAGTTATCGACGGCTGTGAGTGAAATAATCGTGGATCCGTGTCGCTTAGGATTGACCAATCAGCGTGCTCTTACAGGGGTCCTATTTGGCAACAGTGATGCGTGGTCAAGTGAATAAATAAATGCATTATTTTTCAGTTTCTATTAATTAAAAGGTGTTTGTTTTTGTCATGTGGGTTAATTAATTAGACTTTGGGGCTTGGTGGATTTAGAATTAAAAGGAGTGAGAGGTGATTGATTGTAAAAAATAAAACAAAAAATAAAAAGTAATAATAATAATAATAATAATATTATAGATGCCATGTTGGATAATAACTTTTCCCAAAAAAAAAAAAAAATGAATAGAGATGGTTAATTTTTTTTTTTTTAAAAGATAGAGCATTTTAAAGGGTTTTGATTAATTTAAGAACATCTACAATGCTTTAGGTCTAGTTTTGTTTATGTGGAATGTAAATGAACCTAAGTCTTGGATGACATGGACAAAATATATAAAATTGACAAAATCTACTTCAACGCAAGGAGACTAAGTCTCTACTTGGGTCTAAAATTGACTTAAGGTTAGACCGGGTCTCATTTTCTTGCTGCCACATCAGCATAACCTATTTCACTTACACTTGCATTGGAGAACATATTTTTTAGATCGGGTCTATTTCTGAGGTGGCATCCAAAATTTTTTGATTGAACCCAAAGCATTGTGGATGCTCTAAGAGTGTGATTGATATTGAGTAAAAAAATTGATTTTGATTGGACATTAAGTTAAAGTGAATAAAAGTCTATTAATTATAAATAAAGTTTGATTGAGTTGGATTTGAGTTTGTATTTAAATAATGCTTAAACTGTTGGGATCAGTGAACATCTCGTTATGTACAAGTCACGAATTCAATAACAAACGTAATCTTATGCGCAGCGGATCTAAATGTTTGACGTAGAAAACTTACGGCTTAAAATTTTCTGAATCTGGCGGATTCAAATTGACCGGGATGAGCACACGAACGAGTCCATAACACGATCAGGTCGCGGGGTCGTGTCGCGGCGGAGCTCTGGTCGTGTCGCGGTGGTGCGTCGGTCGGATCGCGGAGCTCGGGTCACGCGGTGTCGGCTTGCAGCAGTCCTCCGAATGCGGTGATCAGCTGACGGTGGCGTCCGGCTGGTCGGCCCGACGGGTCTCGTCTTTCGGGTCGTGATTCGTCGGCTTCGGTTGATCTCCAGGGTTGATAAATATATGTATATCGGTTACCATGGGATCTTCTACTGGAAATCTCAAACACCTCTTCAACTTATATCGGTGGAGCAACAAGAAGAAGATAAAACTCGAGCAGAAAACTGAGAGAGAAAGAGAGAGAGAGAGAGAGAGAGAGAGAGAGAGAGAGAGGCAGATGTGATATATTATCACGCATAAGAATTATGATCTTTTATTCTCTTTTCCATGAGCATATAAATGGTGTATATATAGAGCTACAGTAAGGATTCTTATGAAATTATAAAAAAGACTCCTTAATTAATTAGACTAACTGTGGGTCAAGCACATTCCTCTAACTATTTAAACAATACTATGTGGCCAGTAACATAATATTATTGCACTTCATTTCTCTTAGACCAGTTTACAATTAAGACTCCAATAACAATTACCTGAATTACCTCCTCATTTTAAGATTAATGTCCATTGATTAATTCGATGAATTATAATAATAAAATAATTAATTTATTATTTCACCGAATCTAGCGTTCGTTCACCACATTATTACTATGTTGGAATTTAATCCACCTGCAGGGTTTAGCATAATAATCTTTCATGAACTCACTCCGGGGATATCATCAAACTAAACGTACATAGTGACCGTAAATATCCTAACAACACATCATACATGCATCAATATTACTTAAAACAATAGGACTATTAATCTAGTGAACTGAACCTCACTCATGTGAATCAAAATAATATATACTGCATATATATGTCGTTTAATATTTTACGGGTTAAAAAACGCAATAATTAACCGAGTCCTCTCTGAGATATTGTTCAATACATAAATGTACTAGTGCAACTAAACAGTCGAGACAAAATGTATCGTTGATACTACAACCTTTCGGATGGGTGTTCATTTCCATCTAGATTGTGAACAATTATTCTTGTTTCACAACTAACTGATAGAATTATCTTCAGTTCAGCCGATGATGACCCACTCTACCAAATAGCAAAACAACAGAACGTACAATTTGTTTAATCTAACATGTTTTTCATTCATAAAGGGCAAAAGTGTAATATCATCAAAAACCAAGTTTTCAGTATACAACACTAACAATCAGTGACGGAGCCAGAAATATCACTCAGGGGGCATGATTTTAAATGTTAAATAACGAGCTTGAAGTTTAAGTCGAAACACTCATTTCATATAAAAACGTATTTACTATAAATATAAATATTGATATGTGTACCATCAAGTTTTTAAAAACTAATAATCCGTATCGCCTTCAAACTTAAAAAAATAATAATAATAAAAAAAATAAAAAAATAAAAATCATGTATGTCATTTTTGTTGATATAAGCTTATCACATGAACACTTTTTTAAGAATAAATAAATAAATAAAAATGAGATTTTATGTATATCATGCATTTTTGTTGATGTAAGCTTATCAAATAAACACCTTTTTAAGAAAAAAATAAAAATAAAGTTAAGAATACGTGATTACACAAAAAAAAGAGTAAAAAATAACATTAAAAAACATAGTAATCCAACTAATAAATACTAGGTTTTATAAATCACTAAATCGATTTACAATTAAGAGACCCAAAGAGTAAATCATTATAAATACTTTTAAAAGCTTATCTAAAAAGTTAAAATATAACGATTGTATATTTTTCAATAAATAAATAATATTATTCATTTAAATAAAAATAGCATAGAATAAGTTTTAATTAGTAATATATTGTAAATATTTTTTTTACATATTTTATAGTATTTTCTTTATGTATAGATATATTGAATTCTTTCTTGTATTTATATACATATTTTATAATATTATATATATTGATCTTTAGAAAAAATAAGGGGCCCACGGCCCCCCTGGGCCCCTTGTATCTCCGTCACGGCTAACAATCTCTCACTTATACTTAAAATTTTTGCTTTTACAAGTATAGTCATATCAATCCGTTATTCTAAAAGACATATGTCGATCCTATCGCCATAGACCTGACCCTCATTCCTTCCACGTGTTTGACGAAGACCTTTCCCGGCAAACTCTTCGTGAAAGGATCAGCTAGGTTGTCATCTGATGCAACTTGGCAACATCAACGCATCCTCTACCAATCATATCTCGTATTAGATGGTACTTGCGCTCTATGTGTTTGCTTGCTCTGTGGGCTCGTGGTTCCCTTGAGTTTGCTAATGCTCCACTGTTATCACAATACACGGTGATACTACATGGCAAACTCGGAATTACCTCTAAGTCCACTAAGAAGTTTTTGAGCCTTACTGCCTCTTTCGCTGCTATGTACTCAGCTTTCAGGGTGGAGTTTGCCGCGCATTTCTGCTTAGCACTCCTATGGCTCCACCTCTCAAAGTAAACACATGACCTGAGGTTGACTTACGCTCGTCCCTATCCGACTGGAAATCAGAATCACTGTTAGAATTAACAAGTTGTCTGCACGGAAACTAACATGTACTCCTTAGTCATTCTCAGGTACTCGAGTATATGCTTTACCGCATATCAATGTTCTCGTCCCGAATTACTTTGAATCTAGCTACCATGCCAACGACGTAGCTAATACCCGGTCTCGTGCACATCATAACATCCATGAGACTTCCACAGCCAAAGCATAAGAAACTGTCTTCATTTCTTGTATCTCTTGAGACGCCTTAGGAGACATCTCATTGGATAAACTTATTCCTTTTCTGAAAGGTAACATACCTTTTTGGGAATCTTGCATGCTAAATCTAGCCAAGATAATATCTATGTATGATGACTGGGATAAGCACAACATTATCTTCTTACAGTCTCGAATAACCCTAATACCAAGAATGTGTCCTGCTTCACCTAGTCCTTCATATCAAACGGCTTAGACAACCACATTTTTACGTCTGATAACTCATTCTTACTGTTTCAATAAGAAGTATGTCATCTACGTGTACCACAAGAAACACCACCACGCTCCCACTGATTTTCTTGTACACATAGTGCTCATCCAGATGAGTGAACCCACACGACTAGATCACCTCATCGAACCGGACGTTCAAAGATCTTGAAGCTTGCTTCAGTCTATAAATAAACTGATTAAGCTTACACACTAGATACTCATGTCCCTTAGGAATGAATCCCTCTGGTTGCTACATATAGATGTCCCCCTGAAGGTTCCCGTTAAAGAAAGTCGTCTTGACATTCATTTGTCAAACCTCATAATCCATATGAGCGGCTACAACCAAGAGAATCCGAATAGACTTTAGCATAGCTACTCGCGAAAATGTCTCATTATAGTCTATACCCTCTATCTGGGTATACCTTTTCGCGACAAGCCTAGCTTGTATAGCAAATATCATATGAACGGCTAGAACCAAGACTTTTTTTTTTCCGAAACGTTAGGGATATTATAGATAAAAAAAATGCACAACTGTGCAAAAAGCAGCCCAATGCTGCATAATACAACCAGGAACTAAAAACTGAGAGGACGGATCTCACGACTGCCTAGAGCCTCGCTAGCCACGCTAGAAAAGAAAACACACAACACACAACTAACAGACACCAACACCCAACTATGAAACGCTCCCCACAGGAGAATAGAAACGC